TATTTAAATTAATATTTAGTTCTTTAAATTGAGATTTAATCTTAATCCTTTTTTATGAATAACAATAAAAAAGAAAAAAAGATCTTATTTGGTGATGAATTTTCTGTTTTTAGTTCCATAGAATATTGTTTTATATTTTTATTTATAAATATTTTGTTATTTAAACAATGGATAAAAATAAAAAAGAACTAATAATTTAAAGAATTATAATTATGAAACCCACATCACCACAAACAGAAAACTTATTTTTAAACCAAGGATTTCAACCAATACAAGAAACAAAAAGAAATCTAATTCAAGAAATAGAAGAAAATTCATATTCTAAAAAACAATCACCTCTTTTATTAAATCAGAATGAAGGTTCTAAACAATCATATCCTGGATTATTAGAATTATTTTTAAAAGGTAATTTAAATAAATCGATCAAAAAATCAAATACACAAAATGAACAACCACAATTCTTTTATAGTGAATATGTTAAACAAGAATATTTTCAAAGAACATTTGATTTAGATTTTGGAAATGAAACAGTTATGGATATAAATGAACTTCCATTAACACAAATTATTAAACCATTTAAATTAATAAGTCCAATTGAAAGAAATAAGTTTAATCAGAAAAAAATTAGTAGATATTATAAAATACCTATAGATCATTTAATAAAAGAAGATGACACAACACAAATTGAATCTAATAGTTTTGATTATTCAGATAAATCTAGTGATACTACAACATTAGTTTCAATAGAAGAAATTGATTTAGTAAGTAATAGTAATAACGTAAAAGAAATTATTAAATGGTTATCAAATAATATTATAAAATTAACTAAATTAAAACAATCAAAATTATTAATTTATAATTATTCAAAACAAGTTATTAAATATCTTTCATATTATGGAATTAATATTCATAAAATACCATTTAATAATAGTATTATATCAAATGATTTATTAATTTCACTTTTAAATAAAATTACAATTAAATTTCCTCAAAGTGATTTATGTTATTGTATTAAATTTTTTAATAAACTTGAAGAAACTATTATAAGAATTAGACGTTATGGAATTGATTATTCTAAAACAGAAATTAATGATTTTTGTAATTATGAATGGTCATTGACATGTGAATTATCATTTCTTGAATCTTTATATCAATATGGAAACAATATGGAACAAATACTTTTAAATAATCCTATTATTCGATATCAGTTAAGAATAATTAATAATATTCAATATAAAAATCAACAAATACAATTTCTTAAAAGGAGATTAGCTGCTTTGTATAATAAATTTTCAATATGAGGTTTAGATTCATTTCTAAAATTATTAATTTATTTGTTCTTTATTTAGAAATATCTTAATATTAAAATTTGTTTATTTTTTGTTTTCCTTTTTGAAAAATAAATAACAAAAAAATAAATAACATAATTTGTAAAGAAAGAAAAAAGAAAGAGAACTTTTGATATTCACTTAACCTAATGTTTAGAAAAGGAAATGATTCAATAACTGATCAATGCGCATTGAGAAGCTCAAATTTAGTAAAGAAAAGAAATGAAAGAAGAAATAAAATGCTTAATACTAGAAGGTCTATAAAATCAGAAGATGAATATGAAGACCAAAATATTAGTTCACCTCAATTACATGAACTTTGTTCACAGGTATTATCACCAACACCAGAAGTAGTATTTAATGCAATTCATTTAATTAAAAGTATGGTGAAAAAGACTTCTCATATACCAGATAAATTAAGTGAAGTTGTTAGCGAATTATTTACAAATGGTGTAATAAATAAATTTATTGAATATATACAAATAACAATACCAATTAATCCCACTAATGATATACTTGATATTCTTATTTATATTACTGGAGATGATATTGGAACAGATAAATTATTATCATTAAATATTATTCAAGTTTTATTACCATATCTTAATAATCAACAATATTTTCAAAGTATTTGTTGGATTTATTGTAATCTTGTTTGTAGTAATATTATGGCGAGAGATGATATATTTAATTTGTCAATGCCTATTCTTCTTCCAATGATACAAAATGGATTAGTACCACAAAATAAATATTTAATTTGGTTATTTAATAACTTTTCATTTCTTTCTCCAAAAATTAATTTTGATCTATATAAACCGTGCTTTGATTATTTGTTGTCATGTCTTGCTACAAACGATGGAACTATTATTTCTGAAATATTTATTTGTTTCTCACGTCTTCTTTCCGATGAAACCATTTGTGAAAAAATATTAAGTCAAGTTGCTCCTTTATTAGTTATTGGATTAAAAGAAAGAAATGGTGAGGTTGTCAAAGAAGCATTTAATGGAATTGGTGTAGCGTGTGGTGTAACTGATGTACCAATTAATTATTTTGTTAAACAAGGAGTATTTGATGTATGGAACGCAATTATAATGGAAGGAGATAATGAAATAAAACAAACAGCTGCATGGTGTTTATCAAATATACTAGGAGGAAAAGATTCATTTCCAGCAGAATTATTTGTAGATAAGAAATACATAAAAGTTTTAGTTAATGAAATTATAAATAGTACTGACAGAATGTATAATGTAGATTGTGGGTATTGTCTTATTAATACAATTGTTGTTGTACGTGAAGAATATGTAGCTCGTATTATGAGAACACCAGAAATATGTACTGCATTTGATTCGTTACTTCGTTTAAAACATAAAACAAAAGAAACTAAAAATACTTTCTTGCATTGGATTATTAAAATGTTAAGAATTGTATTAATTATTGGTGAAAAATATAAAACAAATAATGAAAATGTATATGCTGTTATGATGGAAGATTGTTCTGTATTTTCTGCTTTACAACTATTAGAAGATGACTCTGAAACAACATTGGATAATTGTGAAGAAATTAATGAACTTCTTGAGTCATTTAGTATCCATGATAGAGAGCTTACTAATATTAGTGAAGATTCTTATAATACTAACTTATATGAAACAAGTAGTTTTGATTCAGATAGTAGTGAAGAAGAAAATTAAATGTTACCTACAATTCTTTTGGTTTACAATTAAATAAAAATGATGAATGTATTTACATTACAGTCTTTATTCTTAATATAAAATCTATTTATTTTAAACTTTAATAAATTTATTTTCTGTTAAAGAGTTTTTAAATCAATTCTTTTTCATTTAATGAGAAAATTATAAATTGTGATAAAATCTCATCTAGTTTTTCATTATTGTATCTCAAATTAAAATTAGTGAAAGCAATTTCACTTTTTAAGTTTTCTCAAATATTTTGTGATAATTATAATTATTTTTAGTTTTATTATAGCTTCTTTATGGTTTAATTTGTTTTTATACCTCTAAAAATTGAAACTGAAAACTAAATATATCATGTCATCAAAAGGACAGCAACTTTCTGCTTCTATTTCTACAAATTTCGATGCTGAATTTCCTCTTACCCTTGAGCCTGTTTGTTTCTTTCATTTAAACAATTTCATTAATTATTAAATATTACAATAATCTAGAAATTGCTAGATGAATTAATAAATCTTACTTTTGTTTTTATACTTTTAAGTATCTTTACCCTCATAAAAAATATTCAAAATGTATTTGATATTTACATCACATTAGAAAGTTGAAAAGCTTACATTTGGAA